AATGCATCGATACATATGGTAAGTGCACATTCCGATGTTTGTGTGTTTTTGTTTTTTCTGATAGTAGGGCTTTCAATGAACCAGTGTGTTCCACATTTTAGCGTATACATCACGTGCATTTACTGGCTTTCATATACATAATTATTATAATGTATCTAGCCATTCACACTTGATTATACGTAATAACGCAATACGGTTTTGGCCAACAACAGCGAGATGATAATTATTGACGTCATTTTCAGACCAATATTTGTATAATAGCATCACGAGCTTAGTTGAGCGGCAGTACGTGGCTATCAATCACACATGACCACATCAAATGTAAGAAACATAAACATAGACTCACTGTATCATCGAATGACGCAAACTCAGGAGACAACAGATAAAATGTACCAAAAACATACAAACCAAAAATGAATACAAAAATTATCTCATCTGAATAGTTTGTATGCATCACAAGTTTTCTGGCATGGGGATTAGTTCTACACAAATCACCAACAGTGGTGTGATTTCATATGAATAAACTGTATTATTTCTATAGAAATACTAAGATACCAGAGTGTTACCCTAGGTCCCAGGGTGAGAGTATTATTACTTGCACAAACCGTTTTTACTAAAGTTTTAATGTCACTTTCAACTACCAAACATTCATTTCTACCATCTTTACATACACAATTCATCAACTGAAGTAACTAAACAAACATGGCTTTACATGTGTATGCTGTTTTATTTCTATCCAGTCAGAGGAACTGAAATATTTACAAACTACAGCTACTGAATGGTCAAACCATAGAGTCCTATATTTACAATGCCATATTATATACCGCTAATCATTGTTTACACGATACAGGTATAAGGGTGTGCTCCAATAACGTGACCAGTTAATCATAGATAGGTAGACAAATTATACATATAATGTGTGTTTAAAGCTTGATTTTACAATCTACCGTTATGCATGCCGAAATATCGAATTATTAATCAATAAAATATACTAAACTTTTTCGATTCACGCATGATTTCGAACTTGAACTGAAATCCATCAATAAATGCTCTGCCTGTAACTCAGGACTGCCCAACATACTAAATGACATATTCACTGTCACTACTTCCTACCCTACTTGAACCCGTGTCAAGACCTTATCAAATATATTAGGATATAAAAAGGATGCTTAATAACCGAGCTTATTACATGCAGAGAACATGAAACCCGTCCACGCGATCCGTGCCATACAGAGTGGCGCGCGGGGAAGACGTGTAGTGACGTGAAGCTAGGCGATTTGGTACCGTACGCGAGCGCCGGTTCGAGTCACGCACGCAGTACGTGTTCACTATAATTTGACGTAGTATTTACCTTGCCGTTTTCGGTGTTATTTGCTTACTTTACTTCCTATGTCAACAGCAACTATGAGTTTAAAAATTTTTCTCAGTACTTATTCACTGTTATAATGCTGTACCATTACTTTCACCATCCTACTACAGCCAGATCTGA